ATCCCATGCTAATTCATTTTGTTTGATTCATGCTAAAGAAACCTCATGAAATTAGTCCTCGAAGTTTATCTCTAATACGGGTTCTCATTTCGATTACAGTAACAGGCTATTTTTTCCGTTTTTCTTCAAGACGTTTTGTGCGTAATCACCATGCAAGAACTACGGAACCTGTCAGTCGGGTTTTACAAAACAACGGTATCGATGTTTATGTCCTAAAGGATACATCGGCCACGATTGTGAAACAGGTAAGTCCAAAAAATAAAAGATAATTTGATTTTATCAATAGAGTTGATAATGTAAATTGGTTGCCTTCTTCTTACTAAACATATTAACATGAATAATCAACTTTATTAGTATGGGTACAAAACGACTCAACAAATTTGGTGCGAATCGACCAAGCCGGGTACAAAGCGACTGGGTACGAAACGCCCTTGGTATAAAAAGACTGGTAACGGTTAAAATATAACACCACCCAGATGACCAGGTCATCTTTCCCTTATCCCTGTTGACCTAAGTTTCAAAGAGTAATTTGCTTGCTTTGTTTTTGCCATCTTTCCTTTGAGAGTTATGGGAAATGAGAATTTTCGATCGTTGTTCCACTGTTGACTAGTTGGTTTCGGCCCTAGTCTTATCATTGTGTTAAGCTTTTGGGCCGGACATTTTTCTCTTCGGTACCCTTCTCTGTCGGGAAATAGAATTTTAAACAAGATATAAAACATGTCTAATTTCTTGAACGGAGGGAGACTTCAGGGACCTTCAGGGTGTTGCTGGTGAAAAAGTTAGTTGGCTTTACAGTGCTGTGCAAAAGTAATGCAAACGGTTATCGTCGTTTATCGCGCTTGGTTCTTCCGATGTACCGCCGATATATCGGCGATATATCGTTCATTTTCTTGACACCTTAAGAACGATAAATCGACGAGATATCGGAGCTTTCCCGCAATATCTCGTTCCGACGATAAATCGTTCCAACGATACATCGTCCCGGCGATATATCGCTAAAACGATCATATATCGTAGAGCGTGCAGAACATCATCACAATATATCGCTTCAGTGAAATATCGTATCAGCGATTTATCGCTTAATCAGGAATGACTCATTGCGATATATAGTTCTAGCGATATATCGCCTTAGGGAGTTTTCTCATGGCGTGAAATGCTTGTCTACCATATCTCGTTCAAGCGAAATAATTATAAGTCATTTCAGATTCCTCCCCCATTTTTTTTGGTACATGTAAGTTTTTAATGTTATTTTAGTGCGTCAGCAAAGCTAACATTCAATGACAGCGTAGTCAATAGGTACATGTAATTATGCTGAATGCAGCCAGTTTTAAATGGGGCTTTATTTGAAGCTCGTTGCAGCATTGTGAAAGGGGGCAGGCCATGAGGGAAATATTTAGATTTAATATTCGAATAAAGAATTGTCGTTATTTTATAAAACAAATGATTTTATTAAAGTATTGTTCACTACGCCTTTGGATTAATTTTGTAAATCAAGATCAGTTTAGTTTGGGCGCTTTTCTTTTTCATTTTTTCGCGAATGCTGGCAGCGTTTTCCGATGCTAACTTTGCACGTATCCCACATGCGGCTCATTTCATCAGTGCTGCGGCACTGGTAAGAGTAGGCCTTGATCCCCTCAGCTGAAAAAAAGAAAAGAAAAAACAAAGCATTAATTGTTGCAGCGTAAGGGGGGGAGGGTGTTTCTTACTAGTACAACATACAAATCATAAAAGCAAAACAAAACAAAACAACATGAAAACAATTTGGTCGGAGAACATTATACATTTCATCGAAGTAAGATAACAAACTTTCATGAGTATACCTTTTTATAGCTATGTCCGATCGAGACAATTCAGAATACTGACTTCGGCTTCACTTTACTTGAACGAATTTTTCTTTCAATGATTTTTTTCCATTTTGGTTCTATGTGCGATCATGAAAACTGTTTATGTTAAATGAATTAAGCTTTCTTCTCTTATATAACAATCGAAGCCCATAGATGAATCGAGATTTTTATCAGATGATTGGTTCCTAATTGGTGTTTTGCTCTCCATAACAATAGAGGCGTAGGCCTCATGAGGGCTTTTCATGTTTAAATTAACTACACGCGAAAGGATTTGAACAAAAGGCGTGATAAAGCGACTTTGATGGAGTTAATGGAACCGCGGGCTAATTTCAGTCCTTTGATTGTTATGTGAGTAGTCGGGTAATTTGAAAGTGCTAAAATTCTTGTTTTTGAGTTTAATGAAATATGCACACACGCTTTATTTTTTGTGGCACTTGCTAAGAATAAGCAAGGAAACAAGGAATATCAATGCCTGATTCTGTTAGCCGTTAGTTAACCATACTGTTTTCTGTGGAAGTGTGAGGTTCAACTAAAACAAAGTTTTTGTCTCAGTTTTGGTCTCACGCACGCAAAAAAAGTAAACGTATTGATGGTATGAAGGCTATGCATGAGTAGTCTATTGTTAATTGTTTAAGAGAGCGGGTCATAAAAGTGCCAATATTATTGTTTGTCTGTTTGTTAAATTTATCAACAATCCTAAGGTTTTGTAAGCGTAAAATAATAGGGTACATAAAAGGCAAATCTTACGGTGTATGTCGTGCAAAGATTGTTTCATTCATAAGATATCAAGATTATTGTTTCTTTTTAGTGTAAAAAAGGCATGTAGTCACAATTTAGTCATTTTAATAACCACTGTTAATTTTTTATTGGTCAATGACTTTTGTGAAATTTGTGGCTCCTAAAGGAGCCGTTTAGTTTTGAGTTGTGAAATCGATCTTTAAAATTGCGTTGCTGCTCCTTTTGCCTCCACTACCGCCGGGACGAGTTTCTTAAGCACATGGTCGACGTACTTAGTGCATTTCGCTTCCGTCACCCTCTCAGCCCAAAACGCCTTTATTCCGTCAACCAGTTCTTTTTTGTTTTGCGGCTTCACTTTCGATTCTAAGTAAAATTTCAGTTCGTGCCATAAGTTCCTAGTCTTGACGTATGTTTGAGACCATCATCCTGCATAAATATGTGGTCTGGTAGCGTCTAATTGTTGAATTGTAGAAGGGTTGTCTCCAGAATACGGCAGTACAGTTCTGCATCCATTATACCAACGAATATGCACACTTTTGTAGCTGCCTTCCGGCTGATTCCTGCCCATGCGTGTACTTTAAGTGAATGTTTAGGCTTCTGTTTTCTTTTCAATTGCTCGTAGACGTAAGCCGTAAAACACTAGAACAAAAATTTATATTCCAAATCGGCACCCTTAATCCCCACGGAATCAACGAGCGCTTTTCATTCAACTAATTTATTCCTGTTTTCTCGTCACCAAATTCCCACCAATGGCGTAGCTCCACTTTCTACATATAAATCCACACACCACCCACAATTCCTCCAATCGCTCTGACGAAGGGCTAACGCTCGAAACGTCAGCTTTTTTACCCTTTACGGTGGCTAATTTACGTTTTCAACCCAGTTGTTAACACTAAATTACCTGCTATACTCTCCCACCGACGCAGCACCACAGTTTCTTTAGAAACTTACCCCTTTATTCTGGAAGCTTAGTCAGCCTTCCTGATCGAGGGTGGTTTTCAGTGGATCCAGTTTCCTGTATTTGTTGATGATCCTGGTGACACTTGCAAGGCTTCCTTGTAGATTTTCGCGTCTCAAGGTTTTCAATATTTGTACGGGATAAAATACTTCCTGATGGAGACAAGCAATTCTTTCTCTGGTATGTGAAGTCCCGCGGGTACATTATATGCAAATACAGGTTGGTTTCCATGGGGATGCAATAACACATCGCAACGCGTTAAAAAAAGTAAGCTTTGCACCCTCCCTCAGTACCGTTTTCACAAGCTGTCTTTTTCTCGCTCTCGCTACTCTCGTTTTTTGGATAGTATCAAAATAAATATAGCCTTTCTTATAATTTAAACAAGCCTTGTTTGCTCTTTTTGTAACGCTTCTTATATCAATTTGTTGCGTGACGGAAACAGGCATGCGCAGTAGATTTAGCGGCGTTCACTATTTTAGCTCTCTAGTACGTTGCGTAACGTAGTCTACGTGTGCCTTCCAAAACAACGTAACGAAAAAGGTTCTGTTCTTGTACAAAAAGGGAAAAGGGGTATGATTTTACGTTGATTGTATGTTTTGTTTAGCCTCTTCTTCGTTGATCGTTTGTGTGAAATACTGATTTCGTCTCAGGTATTGTCGATTTGAGATTGTAATGTTTGTACGAATATTTAGCTCACGCAGAGTTCCGATCTATTGTGTGAATCTCGTTTTAGTTTCATCGAACGATCCGTTTGTAATGTTAGGTCCATTAAGTGTATTTTTTGTCGTTCTTCTTACAGTTTTTACGTGCTATTTCCTTGCTATTAAAATGATAAACATCAAACGCATCGTCTATTCATCTATTGAACATCTTCAACGTAAACGACAGTTACACTTTACCACGAGTAATCTTTGCTTCTAACAAACACCTGCAGAGTACATTTCCTG